TGGTGCACACTCCAAAGCTACAGTCCACTCCCAGGAAGCCAGACTCCAGGCTGAGGTCCACACAGGTTCTGGCAACAAGACTCCTTCGCTGACCATACACCCCGCCCAGACTGGGTCACATGTATGATACTATGCGGTCTCATAGATTTCTCCAATACCATTTGTTCTATTGAAATTAATTGCATAACTCATTGGCTTAAGGACTATTTTTCTTGATAAGATTTATAAACTTCATGATGGCAAGAACTGTATTTGTCTTATTCACCACTATGTTCCTAATGCCTAGCATGGAGCCTTGAACGTAGTACACATTCCATAATTGAATTCTAGCACCTCCTATAAGCCAGGCACTCTACTAGGCATGGGCTTTAGGAATGAGTAAGTAGTCTTAGACCTTGAGGAACACAGGGTTCAGTGATTAATCCAGTAAATTCTGCAACCCTCTGTCAATTTCTTTTTTTTTTCCCATTTATTTTGGTTGAACTTACTCTATATACTGCGTTTTCCAGCTTTCAGACCACAATTGACTTTCTGACAAATACTAAAGAAAAAGAAAAGATTTAAAACCTCTGTCTTTTTAGTGTCATCTGTTATTAGTTTTCCCTCTCCAACTAATAAATAGACTCTATTTTTCTTCAACTTCTTCTCATGTCTGACACACTTAAAGAATGTTTGTTTGGGTCTCTCTTTGTCCCTTGAAAATTGCAATGCATTCCTTGCTTTGGATTTTTTTATTGTTGACATGAAAAGCTATTATATTTGCCTTCCTTTTTTATGACTGTTATTGTTTGAAAAGTTCTCTTTCTGTTGCATATTTCATGCACTGTCCTTTTGTTGTTGTTGCTGTTGTTAGATATATATGTGCATTCTTTATTTTTTTCCTATCTCATCTATGCATAAAGATAATTTTTTCTGCATTTTCATGTCATTGCCTTAAGAGATATTCAGGAATTATTCCATTTGTTTAATTTTATTTGTGATTATATAAATGGCACATATTCATAGCAAAATAAAAGAAAGGAGAAAGGGAGGGAGGGAGGAAGGAAATATAATTTGGTTCTGCTGCTTTACATGAGGGAGAGATAAGGACAGTGAGAGAGGGAAAGTGGAGTTTTTTAAAAAGAGGCAGGCTAAATAGGGAACTGAGAAAAGAATAAGGGTGAGAGAGGCATCTGAAGGTGGTGCACGGAGCTAAGTAAAGGTGCAAATTTCACATTCTCTTTGGCTTTAACCTACCGTCAGCTGACTTACCAACCCAAATCCTAGATTCCCCTGAGGGGAATCTACATTCTACTTTGATTAAAGACTTAACTATGAAAGAAAAACTCTAAAAGTTTTAAAAGAAAACATAAAATATCTTTATGAAATAGACATGAGGAAGGACTTCTTAAACAACACAAAAATAAATAGATATTTTATGCCCACTAGACTGGCAAAAATTAAGAAGTCTGAAAATAACAGGTGTTAGCAAGGATGTGGATCACAGGGAACACATACAGACACTGCTGGAGGAAGTGTAAGTTGGAATAATTGGAATCACTTTGGAAAACAGTTTGGCATTATCCTGTAAACCTGAATATTTTTATACCTGCGTGTAACCCAGCAATTCCAGTACTACAGTTTGTACTATAGAACCGTGCTTCTCTTAACTTTGACAAGCAACCGAATCACCTAGAGAGCCACACAATTTGGGGGCCTCACCCCTGGAGGTTCTGATTCAGTACATCTAGGATAAAGTCCATGTATTTGCATTCCTAAGAAGCACCCAAGTGATGAGGCACTGCTGGTTTCCAATCACAATTGGAGTAATGCTTCTCCAGATTTCTTCACCTGGGTCTTGGGAAACAGGAACAAGAATGTTCAAAGACACGTTGTTCATAATAGCAAAAATCTGGACACAACTCAAATATCTATCAGCGAATAATGGATAAATAAATTGTAGTATTTTTACACAATGGAGTATCATACAATATTGAAAATGAATAAACTGTAAGTACGCGTAACTACCTGGATGAATCGTTGAAGCATAATGTTAAGTGAAAAAAGTAAGTCAAAGAAAACTACATATAGCGTGATACCACTTTTATAAAGCTAACAAATTAAATAATATATTGCTTAGGAGCAAATATATATATATATATATATATGGATAAAACTAAACTATGAAGGAAGGGAATGAAAAACATAAAAACGAGAAAAGGAAGACTCATATAACTAAATGCAACAGCGTGGGTATCATGGTAGCTTTTAAGATGGATGGTGGGTTCTCATATGCTTCAGAACTGTCATTAAGTTACATATATTCTCCTGTATATGGAAAACATATACATAAGAACTTGAAGCTATATTTAAAGAAAATTCTCACAGGTTGAAGAAAAGGCTTAGTCTTTCTGATTAAAAGTAGTCCCCAATGGTGCTTTGTGACCGCCTGGAGGGGTGGGATAGGGAGAGTGGGAGGGAGGGAGACGCAAGAGGGAAGACATATGGGAACATGTGTATATGTATAACTGATTCACTTTGTTATAAAGCAGAAAATAACAAAACAATTTAAAGGAATACTACCTCCAAAAAAAAAAAAAAAAAAAAATAGAGAGTTCAGTAGAAGAGAATAGAAAATCCAGACATGGAATTATATATAACATTTCTTATCAGTATATGTATCATGATATACATATCATAAACTATTATATATGACATATGCATATATTTATATGTTTTTATGTGTTATATATAACATGATTTTAAATGTTATATAATACACATTATATATAATTATATATCATTTATATTATATATCACAATGTATATTATATTGTACATATGTGTGTATGTATATATATGTATATATAGTATATATGTATTATAATATATATACACATTATACCATATCATATATTGTATAATATATACAATATACATTATAATACAATATAGTATATACAGTATATTATATATTAGATAATAACAGACATGATAATGTATAATATTATATAATATAAACATTTATATTTCATATGTATAAATTTTAGTTTGTGATAAAGGTGGGTTTAGGGATAGGTTATTCACTATATGATGCTACAACAGCTAGTAGATAATTTAGACAATAGTAAAGTTAGTACCATACACCCAAATATTTTTCAGTGAATTAAAAGTTTAAATTTTTAAATGATAATATAAAAAGAACTAGAAAAAATATCAATGAAGATTGATCTTACCCTTGTGTGAGGAAGGACTTTCTAAGGATAAAAGAAAAAGAAGAAATCAAAAGAAAAAGATTGATATATTTTTCTATAAAAATTTTTGAAATTCTTCATGTCAAAAAAATCATAAAAAGTGATAAAAAGCAAACTACAAATTTGGACAGAATATTTGTTTCATAAATATTCCAAAGGATTCTTACCACTAATATTAAAAGATATGTTACAAATCAATGAGAAAAAGGTGGACATCCCATCGGAAATACTGTGAATGTGATAATCTCTTCACAAAGATTACTTCAAATCAAAGACACAGAAATTGTAGTCAAGTAAGAGCAATGAATTTTTTTTATCTATATGATTGACAATAATGAAATATTTGCTATTTTAAATATAAGGAAACCATATTTAGCAGCCATCCTAAGTCCACTTAAAGTTAATTAAGGTAAATGGCCAAGGCTTAGTGCTCAGGGCAGATTTGGAGCTATTCTGGAGACAAACAAGCTCTGGGACTTTGTTCTGATTTATTCAATTCACCAGACGTTTTTAAGCAACTGATGTTATAGATGACCACAAAAGGGAAAAAAAAAAAAGATTATTGAAAGATGAAGGCTGAGAAGACATGATTGATGTCTTTAAGATCTTGAATAGAATGCCTGCACTGAAGAGTATGTTCACTGAATTCCAGAAATGGGGGGAGGGGGGAAGTTCCTAAACAAATTAGGAGGCCCTATTTACGTGGTGAGTTATAAACACTGAAGTCATTACCCCATAATGGGGTTTAAGAGCAAATACAAAACAAATACAAAATATGTTTTGTATCCAATATAAAAATAAAACATGATAATAGCAAATACAGTAGAAATTAAGGTGGCGGAAAATAGGCATTTGTAAGTTCAAACTCCTGTGTGGATTACAGATTGAGTATTTATTTATTTATTTATTTATTTATTTATTTATTGGCGGTACGCGGGCCTCTCACTGTTGTGGCCTCTCCCGCTGCGGAGCACAGGCTCCGGATGCGCAGGCTCAGCAGCCATGGCTCACGGGCCCAGCCACTTCGCGGCATGTGGGATCCTCCCGGACCGGGGCACAAACCCGTGTCCCCTGCATCAGCAGGCGGACTCCCAACCACTGCGCCACCAGGGAAGCCCCTGAGTATTTATTAATCAGCTACAAATGGACCCTGGAATGTTTAAAAGCACCACATTGTTTTTAGTTTAGAATTATTGAGGATGACCAAGAATTAGCACCATGGTTTGCAGACATTCTTCTGTTTGTATTTTCACCTCTGGAATCAGGACTCTGGTCTCCTGTCTGGAGGAACTTCATCCTCCTCCCACCACATTAAGAGCGACAATATTTGGAGGATGATATGTTGGATTCTCACATTGGTGACAATCCTAAAGATTGGAAATCTTCCATTCTATAATTAAACAGAAGTCATAAACCAGTATGAAAGTAAAGTCATAGGAAAAGAAAGTTGAAAATTCAAGGCCCAGCTGGTTGGTCTTTTATATGTGAAAAACTGATTCATTTGCTTTGTATGCCACTCGGGGCTCGCCCCACTGACATTTCCTCATTTGGCCAGTTGCAAAGGCCACTTTAGATAATGCCCACTTCATTATGAACCGAAAATGAGCACTTCATTGGGGTGATCATGCTTACAGGGTTAGGGTCTCGCTGGTCCTGACTCACCATATTCCTGGTAAGAAGTGGATTCTGGCCTGCGTGTTTGTATGTTTACTCAGAACACCCGGATGTGTGTCTATCGCTGACTCTCTGCCTCTCTGTTCTCCTCAGGACTACTGGCTCTCTCTCCTTTACAAGCGCCTGATTGGCCCCAAGGTCTTGGCTGTGCATGTGGCTGGGCTCCAGCGGAAGCCACGGCCAGGCCGAGTGATCCGGGACAAACTAAGGATTTATGCTCACTGCACAAACCATCACAAGTAAGTCTGCAGAGAGGCGGCACAGAAAGCCACCCCTGGGGAGCTTCAGGCCCCTTTGAGAATTTCATACATGGGAGCCCTTCAAGACTTATTGAAAACCACTTCTGCATTCACTTTACCTGCTCTTTGCAGGTTTCAAATGGTTTCTGATAAACAGCTTTTTCTCCAAGTGAACCCCCTCTCTCACACTTACAGGATTTATTCATAAAACGTTCATAAAAATACATGCCATTTGTTCATTTACTTCTTCATCCAACAAATTTTTACTGAGCATTTTCTCTCAGCCAGTTGATGTAATGTCCAGGAGGCTTATTTATATGCCTATGCCTGAACCAAGGGTAGAGATATAAAATCTGTTCCTAAGATACACCAGGCGAGCTTGAGGAAATAAGTCTACATCTCTAAGATGCATTTTGGAGAGCTATACCACTAGAAACCTAACCATATACCAGTGCATCCCAAACTGAGAGTGCCCAAAGGTAGTCAGGCCAGCTTTAGAGCTATTTCAGTATTTGGAAAACCTTTTCAGCTATTTTAAAGGTTAAATAAAATCTAGGCTTCCTTTTTTAGGGAGCCGGACTTTGAGCAATCAGCACGGTAACAGGTATGATTATGCTCTTTTTCATCTGAAGCTCTGGTTGTCAGAGTTGTCTTTTTAAAAATAGGAAAAATAATTAGTAAATAAATAAAGTTTGGCAGATAAAATATTTTAAAACGTGAGGTTCATAAGGTAAAAACTTAAAACTGAGCCTAAAGCAAAACCCATCAGACCAAATATGGCTTTCTTACATCACTTTCTATTTAAGGAACAGAGTAGGCAGCTCTGGAAGTAAGAACTTTTCTGTTCCTGCAGAGAAACCTTGTGTGGAGTGGGAGTGAGGGAGAAGGAAGCAAGCGCCTTCAGCCAGATCTTCATTCCAGTGAGCCTGTCAGGAGCTGATCACGGGTAGTGGAGGCACAAAGAGCTCCAGTGGTCAGGTTACAACAGACGCTCCTTCCCCTTCCTTGATGACAGAGGAGCCAAGCCAGTTAATTTATCAGGATAAGATTTTTCAAAGAATCACTCTGAGCATAGGGGGGTCAGGGGCCAGTTGTCTTGTCTGTAGATACAAGTGCCTATTGTGGATGAGTGGAGGCTGGTTTGGGCAGAGGCCAGAGGCTTTCAACGTCCCTTTTGCTCAACAGGAAGCTCAATCCAATACCTGACAGAGAGTGACTGCTTTATGGCCTTGGCTGGAGTTATCTGATCACCACACAAGGAAGCATTGTATTCCTTGTCTCCACCCTGGCCTTGAGGTAACCACCCAAAAGGTGGACCCCCAGCTTCAAGAGAGAAAAATTACTCTTGGCACCTTTTGTCTCTTTTGGGAAGCACATCAGTATGTGCCCTTTATACTACAGGTCTGAGGACACAGGGGAAAATGTCAGTAGTCAAGCCACGGGCTTAGCAGAATTTGAGGGTCTTCACAGAGGTCTCTTCACATTGTTTCATCCCAGTGTTCATCCTGACGTTCTTTGACATTCTTGTGGGAAGTTGTCACTAATATTCTGAATATACTGTGCCCTCAGGGCCAGTGCCTCATGCATTTTTGTATTCTTGGTGTCCAGTAGAGTGACTGGCCTGAGGAAGGTCTCAGTGAATGTTTGATGAATGGGCGAGTGAATGAATGCAGAAATAGGGCATCAAGACCTCACTGATGATTTACAGTTATAGCTCTCTTTCCCTTTGCTGTTACCACACTGGCCAGAAGGAAGGGGTGTGATGGAATGGTTAAGAGTTCTGCCATTCACTAGCATCAAATCATTCATTGCATTCAATATTCTCTCTCCAACACCAGGTCTCTTCTGCTTTCTATGGAAAGTCACTCCAGAACCTCTCTGGGGAAAGAGTGCCACTGTGCTTCTGTCAGTTCCATCCCTCTTTCTCCCTGTTACATAAAAGAAAGAAATGACTTTACTAATCTATTCCACAGATGACCTTAGTGATTACTGGGGTGAAGGTCTTTTTGTTCCTATTAGAGAAGAAAGCCCACAGTGGATACACTGAGCTGGCTGAGTTTGCAGATCTTCTCCATGTTAGTGGGTGTCCGGTGCCTTAGATAGGTGGACACAAAGAAGTGTCTCTGCTCCTTCTCTGTGGGAAGCCACGTGCCCTGTCTGTGCCCCCTCATCCTCCATAGCAGTCACGAGGAAGCACTCCTGGTTCACTTAGTTTATTTGTGGCCAAAGAGGCCAAGGTCACAGAAATGTCCCAGAGTGGGCATGTTAGCTTCACGCTGTCCAGTCTTGACCAATACTCTGAAAATATATATCCTTGCTCAAAATAGGGAATTGGGTGAGAAAGTATAAGTTTACCAGTAGAATAAACCAAAGAAGGGGTCTTTTAAAATAACTCCTGCACTCCAGTCTGTATTGAACACTTGCTGTGTGCCAAGCATCTTGCCAGATATTCACATTTGTATTATCGTATTAAATTCCAAAGGTTCTATGGTATCACACGTATAGGCAAGTAGCAACATTAATAATGTAAAGATTTTTACATTTGGAAAGAACCCTTAGAGATCTTTGGCCTGGTGTCCTATATAACACAGAAATGCCCTTTACAATCTCCCTGACAGTCATGAACCTCTACTTGAATACCTCACTCCCTCTCATGGCATCTCTTACACTGTGGGTCGTTTCTGACCTAGTAGACCATTGTCTTTTATGACTGATTTAGGATAAAGAGTTAGATACTCATACCAACACTAGCAGGTGCTTTTCTGCTTTCTGTTCTAGAGCCAACAAATTAGGACACTGGCAGCGTAGCAATTCTCACCCTAAGTCTTCTTATTCAGAGAACGAATAAGTTTTGACTAGGAAACCTTCTTTTTCTAAACCATTCTGCTAACACAATGTATGTTTCTGGGAGGAGCTGAGGTCCTTAGCCAAGTTCAGAACCAGTTGAAGCCTGGTGGATACTGAAGCAAAATTGAGCCTTTTGGGGTTCAAGTTCGTTTATTATTGGCAAAGCACAACTTCCTGTTTTTCAGAAGAAGTTTTTTTAAAGACTCATAAAAAGGTTCCTGAGGCTTCTTGGACATCAAATGGCTCTTACAAAACAATATTTTGATGAGTTAAGTGTAAATGAATCAGAAACATGTGGATTAAATTTCCCTTAAAATACACAGCGCTTTGAAATTAGGGGAAAAGATGTTTGGCAAAACATGGCCTGACTTTTACCAAACCCAAGAACTTTGAATTAGATTTGGAGACAATGGACCAACACAGTTTTCAAACACATAGACTTTCACTGGAAATGGCCACGGATTTCAAAGCGTCACCCTCCCTTCCCTTTCCTAGTCTCCCAGCTTCACTGGAGACATTTCTAGAACAGGGACTGTTTTTCATCTGTAAGTCAAAATGCACCTCCCCATATGACACCCCTCGCCTCTTCTATCCATGATATTCCAGACCCAGTCCCCACTCCTGACTCACTTCCTCCCCCTCCCACATGGTAACATAGGGATGTCAGGCAGCAAAAGAACAGCCAGAAAGATGAACTCCAGATACACGCATTCTCTGCTGGTGACAAGGTCTTACCATGAGTGAGACATGGAACAAGACAGATGTTCTACCAGACAGAAGGGGCATTAACGAAGAGAACAAAAGGCCCCCTGGACTTGACAACATCAGAAGGTCAGCAGTTGCCTCCAGTCCACACCTTCAGTAGGACCCCATTTCCTTAGGGAACAGATAGTCCTCCAAGATTATTCTTCTGTCGGCAGAGAATGTACATTCTTCAGGAATCTGGTTTCTCAACATAGTACTTTCAGGTTGGTGCTGCATTCCCCAGCCAAGAATGTGTCTTCACAGCCAAAGGCCTCTGCTTAATGTCCTTGCCCATCAGCGAAGCAGGGAAAGCGATGACCAAGGGGGTCTTCAATGCCAGTTCCTACCTGAGGAGGCTCCGTGAGCTCTGTGAGAGCCTCGGCAAGTTGGTGTCTGGGCTGGCTTTCAGTACTGGCTTGTCTCCCCCAGTGGAACTGTGTAAATGGAAATCAGACCACTGCCGAGCAGCTTGAAAAGATAGCTTTCCCTGAAGCAGTGGTGTGATTTCAGGTCTCCCTCCCACCCACCACTTCCCCACATCCCTCCCTTCTCCTCTGCCATCTCCAAGGGCTCATTCTGCCCCAGCTCTGCAGAGGAGAAACTCCTAAATGCAAACACGCAGCTCTGTCCACCTCTGCTGCTAGCCTTTGAGAAGGTTGTTTGATGGGAGTTAGCAGAAGGCTTCACCACAGTCCGTGAAAATTGGTACTCATGCACGCCTGCTTTTGCTCACACGCTGAAGCCCGCAGTGCCTGTAGTTAATGTAGTTTTGCACACAGCTAAGCTAAGCTTAAAGCCCACCAATGGAATTTAGTTGGTGTTCTTTAATGTTGGTAAATGCTAACATCGGCTAGCAGCATCTTTCTTCAGATCTCTGATGACACAAGTCTGCACAAATAAATTGGCATTATCTTCTGACCTAACCCATTGGCTCCAAAAGCTAGTTCACATGCTTCAGGGGACTGAGAAGAAGGACCAGAGGAGGAGGGACCAAATAGAAGAGTCATTTAATAATTTATCAGAATATCAATTCAGGTATCCAAAAACCTTGAATGCAATAATGTACCCTCCTACAGATGCAAGAAAAATCATCGGACACACAGCCAAAAGGGTATACTCTGGGAATTCTTCTCATAACCTTAATGGATTGCTCTAGGCAAGTGGTTCCCAAACCAAACTCATCTGCCAAATATCTTGGAAAGATTTTTTTTAATATCGATTCCCAGACCCCAATCACAAATGGATTAAATAAAGGGATGAGACCTGGAAACTGTATTCTGTATTTTTTTTTAGTCCAAGTTATCACAATGACTGGCCCTTGGTCACTCAACTCTTAATTAGCACATTTAGAGGCATAGATGAGTGACCCAGAGGCTGAGGTGTGCTGTTTCTGCAGGGAATGATATTTTCCTGTGGGCATAGTTGACTTAGAGTTGCTCTGAATTTCTCCTTTGAAAGCAGGATGGGGCCACTTTGTAAACCTGTGCTGGTTTAAAAGGATTCCAAAAAGTGAATAGTTATATAATCATGGGGTAGGTAAAGTAGCAAAAGTAGAAATCAAAAAGGTCAATAAATTTGACTGCCTAGAAGTTTTGAACTTTTATACATCAGAATACAATGCAAACAAACTGAATCAGTGAAAGAAAACTGGGAAAAATTTTGCAATATACATGCAAACAAAGGATCACTATCTTTAATAAATAAATAGTTTTTATATATCAATAGAAAAATGGGCAAAGGCCATGAACAGTCAGTTTACAAAAGAAGAAATGGCAAAGAGACAAATGAAAAAAAAATACTGTGCCTCAGTGTGAATTTTTTAAAAATACAAATTAATACAACATTGAAATCCCATTATCACCTCTCAGGTTGAGAAAGATATTTTAAAAGGTTAATATCCAGTGTTCTTAAGGGTATGAGGATATGGGTGCTCTCATACGTAGGTGATCAGAGCAAACTGATACAAGCTTTCTAGATAATATCAATATTATCAAAATGTGTATATTAGTCAGGATAGGCGAGGTTATGCTCTGATAACAAAGAACCTCCAAATCTCCATGGCTTTCAATAAGAAAATGTATTTCTCTTTCACACTACTTGTCTGTCATGGCTCAGCTGTATCTCTCCACATCATCCTCATTCCAGGATGCAGATCAATAGAGCAGCCTCTCTCAACAACGTTGTCAGTCTTCTGGCAGAGGGAAAAGAGACATGGCAAAATATGGACTGCTTACTAAAGCCTCTGCCCCAGAGGTTTTAACATGTCCACCCACATTGCATTGACCAAAGCCAATCATGTGATCACTCTAGTGTTCAACAGAGCAGGGACAAAATAATCTTCCTTCCCACAGAGAGGGGCACCAACTGGGTAGGAATCAGATTTGGTGAGGAATCATACACTGCATTCCCTTTGACCTAGTGTTTCCAACTTCCAGCACTTTATCCATCAGAAATAATCATGAAGTGCAAAAAGTTTATATAAATGAAGTCCTGCATCACATAATTTATAATGGCAAAAAATTACAAACAACATAAGTCCCCAAAGGAGGAGCCTAGTTAAATAAAGTTAAATAAATTTCTATGATTGAAGAACTTAATATTCAATAAGTGAAGAATATATAGGGCTTCCCTGGTGGCGCAGTGGTTGTGAGTCCGCCTGCCAATGCAGGCGACGTGGGTTCATGCCCTGGTCTGGGAAGATCCCACGTGCCGCGGAGCGGCTAGGCCCGTGGGCCATGGCCACTGAGCCTGCGCGTCTGGAGCCTGTGCTCCGCAATGGGAGAGGCCACAGCAGTGAGAGGCCCGCATACTGAAAAAAAAAAAAAAAAAAAGACTATATAATAACAATAACATGGCAGCATGTTTAAGATGTTCACGGACTAAAAAGCTGATGAACAATGTGATCCCAATTATGTAAAAACTGAGAAATGTATATATGTATGTGTCAAAGAACTCAGTAAATATTTGTTGAATTAATAAACTAAAAAATAGTGGAAGGGTATCTACCAAAATGTTATCATATCTTAAGACACTTGGATTATGGGGGATTTTTCTTTTTCTTCTTTGTGTTTCTCTATATTTTTCCAATCAGCATATTTTACTTCCGTATTCAGGAAAAGATATTTTGTTTTCTAAAATTATTGCAATACATTTAAACAAAAACAAAAGGGGTGTGGTGGGAAGTGGGTATCTTCTTTGCAGGACACCACAGTAACAAGGCCTTCCTGTCTTTGAAAGGCTAGGATGGCCAAGAACCATAAAATAAGTGCCCTTTCCTGGGGTAGTCCTGTTTCATGCAGCCTGTAAATGATCTAGAAGCATCTAACAGACCACTGTGTTTCCATCTTTCCCTCTGTCTCTCTCTCTCTCTCTCTGTCTCTCTGGATATCAGCCACAACTATGTTCGAGGGTCCATTACACTTTTTATCATCAACTTGCACCGATCAAGAAAGAAAATTAAACTGGCCGGGACTCTCAGGGACAAGCTTGTGCACCAGTACCTACTGCAGCCCTATGGACAGGAGGGCCTGAAGTCCAAGTAAGTGCCAACCCGGAAGTAGCTTAGGAGCGAGCGCAGCAGGAGCTGGGTGTGTGGGGAGCTGGAGTGCCACTTTGCTGAGGGCACCAAGGCTGCTGCTAATTCACTCAGGGACTGCTTACTCCCTTTAGGACCCTGGTCAAGCCCCTCCCTGTCTCTAGGCTTAGAGTCCCCAACCATAAAGTCAAACGATGGACAAAATATATCTCAACAAGGACACTCTTGGATTCTGGACCGCAGGATTCTTCATTATGCAGGATGATCACATTTTAAGCTATTTAGAATCCTTGGTCCCTACCCACTAAATGCTAATAGCACCCCCAGTCATGTGACAACTAAAAACAGTTGTAGTTAAGAACCACATCCATTCCAGCTGTAACATTCTGTAGTGCTGTAACTCCCTGTTTGTCTCCATCTACAAACCTTGTGGGGCTTAAAGGAAGGAGCACTGAACAAAGGATCAGAAGTTCAGAGATCAGGAGTCAGTGCTAATGAATTAAAAATTTGGATTTAATTAAAAGATTTAATTTGGGGTTAATTTGGATTAATTTTTAATTTAATAAAAAATAAATGTAAATAAAACCCTGGAGAAATAAATAAAATCACTGTAAGAATAAAAAAAAGAGTCAGTTCTGCCCCTAACTTTATAGTTTTGGGCACATCACCTCTCTGGAATGCAGTTTCCTTATCTGAACATTAAGAGAGAAATTATATTCTGGGGGCTCTGTAGTCTCTTCAAACTCTGTAAGTGTATGATTCTGTGATACTCTACCTCCCTCAGTCTCTTCTAGAGACTTTGGCAACACAGAAAGCAGCTCTAGGCCACCCCATCCTGGAGGAAGGCCTCCCAGGAAGGGTATGGGATACTGTACAGACTGGGAGCGCTCCCATTCCTTTTTTAATGTTTACCAAGTTTAACAAAGCTATAAACTTGGAGCAGGTGGCTTGTGTTCCCACAGCTGCCCACAACTATTTGCGCTATAATTGTTTGCTGTTTCACAGCAACCTTGGTGGCTTGCATTTGGTTTCCAACTGTATGCAATGGGAACAAAACACAATCTGGGAAGTCACTTATTGAGCCTCTTTAGCCCTCGCTAGATCTGTATTCAGTCTTGGTTCACATACTGGCTCTTTTTTCTGGCTATAAGTACATTGCTCCCACTTTTCTTTCCCCGCAGTCCTATCTATCCCAGCAGAACTCCCGTGAGCATTTTATCCCCTCTCTCCATTTCCCAGTAGTTCATGACTGGTGTGCTGACCTCCTGGTCTTCATTCTAGGCAGGAGACTCGGTTCTGGTTCACTAAGTAACCTGGGCAGATCCTTTCATCCTAAGCCCTAGGCCTCGGTTTTCTCATCTGCAAAATTCAAGAGCTGCTATATACTTGGTGAGGCCCCTCCCGGCTCTAAAATTCTCACCCTGGTCTGATCTTCTCAGGCCCGTATGTTTAAGTCTCCCACTGCCATTCAGTAATGACTCACAAGGTCACGTCTGGCAGAGGGGCTGACTCCTCAACAGTGATTGTGACAGTTCAGGGTCCTCTAGAACCCAAGATATTAGGAGCTGAGCCTGCCCAATGTTAGGAAGACCACGTGTACCACGTGGAAGGAACCGACCAAATGCCTTAGTCTAACAGGCTGAGGTGTCAAATCCCAGCTCTACCACTTGCTGGCTGTGTCCTGAGGCAAGTTACATCATCTCTATGAGCCTCAGTTTCTTCAACTGTAAAACTTCTCCTGTGAAGAGAAGTAAATGAAGTCATCTATTTAAAGTTCCTGATACCTAGTAAACGCTCAGTAAATGCCCATTGCCTTCCTCTTCCTCAACTCAGAACTCTAGCCAGTTGGGGACGAAGAGGGAAACAACTGCTCTAAGAATGTTCTTCAAAAGTGGCATCTTCTCAGACTTTTAAGATAATGTGTGGATAAGACATCTGTTAAGATTATGATAAAAAGACATAAGAACTGCATAAATGCAAAACCATGAAACATGCGGAAATGATGGTCCAGGGTGGCACCATTTTATGAGCTTGTTTCTCCATCAGCCAAGGGCACAGGCCTCTAACCCTGTTTACCCAACTCTGTGTCCCTGCCTCCAGGATCACAGCTCTGATGTTTGAACCTGGCCACACCTTGGCCCCTGTCCTGCTTATACGTGCTCTTTAGAGTGACTGAAGTGACTCTCACTGGCTTACGGATATGCTGCATTTCCAATTATGCTCTCGTGCATCTAACCTTGTCACCGTCTTGGTGAGGAGCTATGTTCTGGCTTTGTTGACAACGTCAGAGAAGGACAGGGAAAAAGAGAATTTCATTCCACAGGGGTCCTGAAGAGGAATTTGGTAACACCCACTGAAATCAAATAGCAATGTTATGCAATTAGAAGAGGGAGCTGGAACCCGAAAGCCTGGATATGAATCCAGGCTACCATTACCTGTGTGACCTCAGCTCCCTTACCTGTCAAGTGGGGTTATTGTGAGAATCAAATTAGAGCATATGGGTGAAATGAAGCCTTCTACAAATGAAAATTTCACACATCCATGCATGCACATCCATATAGAAGTATAAATACAGACACACACATATGATTTTACATATATTGTATTAAAGAGAGTTTTGGATTAGAAGTCAACAGAACTGGATTCCAGCCCTATTCCTGCCAGTACTTCACTGTGGAACTCTGGGCCCTTCACTCACTTCTCCAAGCCTGTTCCTCTTCCTGTGAACTCCTACTAATTTAACACCTCTCTCGTTCTAGAGAGAACGTGCTGAGCCATCTCTGACTATAAGCTGCCGGACAGGGACTGCCGTGCACACGTTCAGGTGGTACATCCCACTCTCCTGCTCAGTAACTGCTCATAAGAGCAGGAGCCCTCCGTGGTTCTGGGATGGGGGTCTCACAGGAAGAGTGTGGTTTTGGTGCAGCAGACTCTGCAGGAAAGGATGAAAGGAAATGCTAGGAAGTGATTTCAGCCTTTGGTGTCTCCTTCTCTCTCTTCTAAACCTCTGGGGCCAGATTCTGTGTTCTGTACCTGCTAATTCCTTGCTGTAGCCTGAAGCCGTGTCAGTTCAGAAGAGGGTGGAAAGCTCTGGGAACCTGTAACTGCTCCTGTCTTTAGGGACCAGGAAGAGGCTATAAAGCAGATCAGTGTGCCATTCAAGCCACCAGTTGGGCCTTTTGGCCTGGGGTTTTAAGATTAGGGAGATACCAGCAAACTTTTTTGATGGGTAGAGAACATGGGGTAATTCTCCTTCTCTTAGAATTGCCATCAGGGTTGGAAATAGTTCAGATCTCTGAAAGGGTAGCTGCATGTGAACTTGGGGCTCAGGGATGTTAGGTATTGTACAGGATGCACCTTTGAGGCCACTCGTCAGGCATAGTCCAGACATCCAGGTCCACAGTGAAGGTTCCTGTCTCTGATATCAGTGAGTGAACCAGTCGTAAGACCCGCCACTCAAGTCTCAACTCTTTATGTAAGAGATGGTTCTCACTCTGGGAACCAGACAAAAGGTGGGTGCCCTATACCCTATGGGACAGAAGAAGGGAAACTTTTAGAAAACTGCAGTGTGTACCAGAGAAGGGTATTCTGTGTCTGGAATATATATTCTTCAAAGATGGCTGAAGAAAATAGGGAGATTTAATTTAGACAAGAAAAATAAGGTAAGTTGTGAGGACTTTCTTCAGATATTCAAAGGGCTGCTAAGTGAAAGAAAACAGATTTGGCCCAGGATCCTCTAAAATGACAGAAAACCAGGGACTACAATTTAAAAGAGAAAGATTTCACCACAAAACGAGCTCATTTTCCAAAGGCATGCCTGGCTTAACTGAGGACAGGACAGGCTTTCTCAGGAGGTAGACTATTAATCAAGGAATGAGTGGCCATGGCCACCTCAGAGGTGCTCTAAGATTCCTTACTCAGTGGGAGGTTGAGGTGAAAGATTACTGCTTCCCATCAAACTCTAAAATTCTATTAGTCTCTTCCATTTCCGTCCCCCCACACCCACTTCACTTTTGGAGCCTATTGTCTCTATGGTCACCAGAAAAGTAGCTTCTTCAAGCCACCAAAAAGACACACAAAGAAACTGGTGCTACAAGAGAAAGTGGTAGTTATACCAGGCTAGTTCTCTTCCAAAAAATCTCCAGCTGTAGGTCCCTCCCCTGTCATTTTCACTGCTTTCTCACCTTTCTGGGGGAAACACTAACCATTCACACCTAAGACAGTAATATTTCCCCTTCTAGGTAAATCTAAGAGCACCTTTGGGGCAGCTCTACCATCTACGAGAGAATCTGCCCAATGTCTCATGTGATCACAAATCAATGAACATTGTCCTTTAGGGAATCATCTCTACCCAAGACATAAATATCTCCAATGTCTTTCAGCAAACAGAAAAGCAACATAAAGTTGGGTCAAGCAAGGCAATTTACATCAAAAAACAGGAAGACTCACTTTGTAGGGGAAAGTCAAACCAGGAGCAGGTGTTTCACCAGATCCCAGCATTCTGCCCTATGTGTCATATTCAATTCCATTTGGAGAGAAAATGATCCAAAAATTGGAAAAGAAGGAAACAACTTTCATCACACTGGTTCTTCTATTCTGATGCACTGATGCTAAGAACCCTGGGGTGGAATAATGCTTTGAGGTGGTCTGGTTCACTCCCCTGCCCTCAGACAGTCTGTAGCTAGGACATCTGGACCAGAAGATGCTCTATATCTAAAGACCTCTAGGGAAGGAGTGCCGACAGTTTCAATCCTGTCTGAACATTTAATTTTATAGGAACACTGGGGCAGACCGTGCCTGTGGCTGGGACTTTATATATAATAAACAGCACCATGAAGCATTTTAGAGTTGAAGAAACTGAATTTTAGGGCACTAAGTGACTCATTCAAGAGTCACACAACTTGGGCTTCCCTGGTGGCGCAGTGGTTGAGAGTCTGCCTGCCGATGCAGGGGGCCACGGGTTCGTGCTCCGGTCCGGGAAGATCCCACATGCCGCGGAGCAG